GGGGGCGAGGCGGGGCGGGGCCGGGCGAGGCGTCGACAGCTCACCGTCAACAAAACAAACAACGAAACATTTGCTTCGTAAGATTACGAGGAAAACGCACGCTTTCCTCTCATTACACGCAAAAAAAACAATTTCGCATACTTCAAGTGTACATTTCTTCTTGTTTCCAGGAAAACATGCTGACGCATAGTCAAATTTACTGTCTTTAAGACGATACTAGTCTATGGACTGGTTTTAATACGATGCCCCCTTATTCAAACAAGTCATGTTTCAACGGTTAATTTGATCTGCCTGGCATCTTCTTCGCAAAACAATAAGAAATACGTTTTACACTTTTTACAGTGTGCTGCAATTCCAAAACTCACTTTTGAGAGACTGTATACTTGCGCGTCGCACGGTGGGACGCGATGTCGGAATCGTGGAAACGGGCTGTTATTTTTTTTATTGTTATTACTACAACAGCGCATCAGCTGCGGATCCGCATTCTCCCTGGGCGAGCTGCGTGTGGCATTCCCTGGGAAGTCCATCCGCGGCGGCTCCGATATACCCCGCGGCCGAAGAGGCCCCCCGGCGCGACGATACCCCGCGCCTCCAACGAGGAGGAGGGCGTTGTCACTCTGTCCACGACGTGGACGTTCCCTCCCCTCTGCGCCGTGTCCTCCCCGAGGTCCTCCCCGAGCGCCCGCCGGGTAGGCCACCTCGGACGCACTGCAGGCGCGCGCGGCGGGCGGCCTACCTGCAGCAGCGCAGGGGTCCGGCCTGACCTGTCGGGCTGTTATCGGACCGCTGCCGGCCCACTTGGACGACTCTCCTTTTCTCTCCCATCTCTCTCTTCCTTTCTTTTCTCGCTCCCTTCCGGCTCACACGCTGCCGAGCAGAGCTGCTATCCACAACGCAGACTTCCGCTCGTAATTCTATTCAATTAAATCGGGTCGAGAGGCGCATCGATCCGCGAGTGGCGTGAAAACGCTGCAACAACAACAAAAACAACAAGAGCAGCAGCAGCGGCGGCGCCTGCCTGCTCGGCCGGCTCGCGTGCTCGCCAAAGCAAACGCGGCGGCGCGCGGTCTCTGTCAGATCTTTCGCTGCTCGGACGGAATCCAGCTAGAAAGTCGTCCCGTTCGCGAGCGGGGGAGGGGGAGTGGGGCCAGAGGGGGGCGCTAGCCAGACAGGCAGCCATAACTCACGTCACAGGCTGCAGGATCACCACCGCATCACAGAAGAGCAGAAGCGGCCAGCAGCAGGCCTTCTTCTCCGTCTCTCTCCCATGACATATACCGGTTGTCTTTTCTCTTTCTCTCCCTCGTTGCCTTTTATTTATTTAAAGCCACAAGCCGCCCATCTCTCTCGCTCTTCTCTCCGTTTGCTTTGCTCCACCGGCTGACCGCTGCCCGGGAGCAGGGGCGGCCAGGTGTGGGGGGTAGGTG